GTTGTTAGTGTGTTAATGGTGATGATTTGGAGGTGGTAGTGTGTTGGTATTGATGAAGTGGGGGTCGTGGTGTGTTGGTGTTGATGACATGGTAGTGGTTTGTTGGTATTAATGATATTGTGTTGGTGAAAATGTTGGTATTTACTAAGTTAGTTGTTATGATGTTGTAGTGTTGGTATGATAAACAAGGAAAAATGATAAAATAAAGTAAAAAAAGTTTAAGGAAAATAGAGGAATGTAATATGATAAAATGCAATTGAAAAATAACTGGGATCAGTTAAAAAATGATTGAAAAATATGGAAAGTGTTAAAGGAAGGATTCACGGTTTTGGGTTAGGATTTAATCAAGCGAACCATCGATGCCTCGGATGAATGGTGAACCAAGAGATTGGAGGTGAGACTTTATGAAACGTTCGGTCTTTCACCTTTTTTTTATTGTTATTACATCAACATATCAATATATCCATTAATTTGTATGTTATGTCAAATGGCCAAATATTAAGTTAAGTGGTATTGACTCTGAGCTTGAAGAAAAGTTGATCGTATTTTTGGTGGAGTCGTCGTCACGGTTGATCAAGCATACACACCAGAAGAGAGAGGGTTTGCTGGCAGAGCTGAGCATGTAGATGTTGACCAAACTGCTGACTCCAATGAAGGTCTCAACCCTAACCTCAATGAAGTTGAATCTACTAGTCAATCCAAATGTCCAAGGGTTGAGAAAAAAAAAAAAAAAGATGGTGTGGTTTTCATTAGAAGTCAAATTTCATAATTAGTTGTTTCATGCACCAATGACACTAGCACATCACATGCAACTTCTATTCAAGAACTTATGGAAATTTTGGACGTAATTCCAAAAATTTACGGGGACATATCGTTTTACTTGTTCTCTATGAAGTTGCTAGAAGACCTAACTAGGAGAGTTCTTCATGTCGATGACACCTGACCATAGGGTTAATTAGTTACACTATTTTCACGACAACCGGGATGCTTAAATTTTATTTTATTTGTTGGAGACATTTTATGTTTGATTTTCATAGAGACATTAATCATGCTATTTTCACTATGTTTGAATTTTATTTTGCTTTATTTCTTGGACATCCTTACACACAAAGCAATCTTTTATTGCTTTAGAATTTTTTAGTGTCATTGTTTTTTGTTTAATGCAGTTATTGCTAATTTGGTGTTATTTATATGTTCTAGCTACATAAACAATGAATAACATGGATAGATAAAGACACAAAAGAATTGAAGTTATATTATGCTTAATGTATGAGTATTAAAAATTATATATTGCTCTCTCTCTCATTGCATGAAATTTACATACATAAGCGATAAGTGGGTTGAGGAGTTTCTTGCGGATCACCTGACAAGGTTTAAAAATATGTTTCATATGACAAAGCTCATGCTCATTGATTTATTAGAAGAACTACAGAGCAATCATGAACTATGGCTCCTCTAAGATGACTTTGAGGGAGGTGTTAGTCATAACCCTCTATATTTTATCACATAATGAGTCTATGAGAAAAACCATAGAGCAATTCCAATATTAATCAGAAATAATTAAGAAATATTTTTTTATTGGTTTAGATGCTCTCACTAGCTTATCCTAAAAAAAACTAATAAGATCTAAAGAATCTACATCCCAAAACACCCTTGTAGAGATTTCACGTGATCAACGTTATATGCCATGTTTCAAGGTAGCTTTCTATCTTCACCTATTTCTAAATTTACTATGGTAACCCTAATATCTTACATAAATCTAGGATTGTATTTGAGTAATTGATGGAACACATATGGATGCACGTGTGCGCAACAGTGAAAAAAATTGCACATATTAGACGTTGTGGGTCACCAGCACACAACATTATCGTTTCATGTGATTTCAATATGCGCTTCACTTTTGTGATGACCGAATGAAAAAGAAGCACATATATTCAAATATGTCATGTGAACTCACAAATACAACTTTACGAAGCCTCCTCCAAGTTTGCTTGAATATGAATAAATAAAATATGAATTGCATTATAATACTAACAAATAAGCTCACAAGTGGAAAGTATTATTTGGTTTATGCTTGATATCAATTAGGAATATGATATCTCAAGCCATTTGCTGATAAAAAATATCATATTTTAGATTTTGAAAGAGTCGATTAGGGCTATCAATTTGGCTCGTTGTTCATGAACGGCTCCCCGTTTGCGCCCGT